GATAATATATATATTATCACTCATTATGATTAGACTTACTGTATTTAATATTAAGAAAATTATTTTTGTATATATCTAACAGAATTTCATGTTTCTATTTATACTTATTTTTATTTGTAAAAAGATAATCAGCTCTAATTCTGTTAGTATCCTAAAATACAGTGAATTTCAAACTCAAAATTCTGTAGTTTTATTGCCATAAAACAATTCACCAAGGGATCAGCACCATAGACACACAATTCATTCAATCAACAAATACTTATTGCACACAAACTGTATATCCGGCGCTCAACTTTACATGTATCTTGTTGGTATAAGCAGTCCCTTCCTTCAAAAAGCTTATCATCCACCTGAGAATAAAAGACTACAAAAATATAGGCACAGGTACAAGATTTCACTATAATAATGGTTATGGTAGACTGACAATTTTCTTACCTTTATCTAATTTATTATATATGTGCTTTGGCAGTTCTGGTGAAGATTCTACATTTGGAGGATAGACATACATTGCTCTACTATGAGGTGAATTGAGATCCCTAAGATCCACTGCTTCTTTACAAACATTCAGAATATTTCTTCGGAAGTCCTGTACTTCTGGATCTTTAACCATATCAAATTCACATACTGGCATGCCAATAGCAAAACCTTAAAAAAATTATAAAAAGAACATAACATTCTATTAAACATGCAGTATGAACACGTTTCTTACGAATAGGAAGCTCTGTAGATATAGAAGATCACAATAGTCAAGAGGTTTCTCTGGTTTAAAAAATTTTTGATGACTACATGTATAGTGATGAGGTGCCAAATATTTTAAATATATGCAAGATAATATATTCAGCTATTTAGAGCAAAGGCAGAAAACATTATCCAGAACAATTATTTTTTTTTTTCCTTTTTGTCTTTTTTCGTGACCGGTAATGGGATCGCAACCCTCGGTGTCCGCCCGTACCATGACCGGCAACGGGATTGCAACCCTTGGTGTCACGCCCACACCGCGCTCGACCAGTGAGCGGACGGGTCTCTATATGGGATCCGAACCCTTGGTGGGAGCGCCGCCGCACTCAACCGAGTGCGCCACCGGGCCGGCCCAGAACAATTATTATTATTTTTTTTATTTTTTATTTTTTTTAAAAGATGACCGGTAAGGGGATCTTAACCCTTGACTTGGTGTTGTCAGCACCATGCTCAGCCAGTGAGCGAACCGGCCATCCCCATATAGGACCCGAACCCACGGCCTTGGTGTTATCAGCACCGCACTCTCCCGAGTGAGCCACGGGCCGGCCCCAGAACAATTATGTTTTAAAGAATAATGAAACAAAACTGGGATATAAAAATCTAAGTCATCTCGCAAATGACATTTCTTAAAGAAAACCTTATAGAATAATATCAAGATGTTAAAAATAGTTCCACAGCTCAATACTCAAAAATACTTTAGGTTTATAATGATTTTTATTTAGAAAGCTATTTATTTAGGATTACAAAGGTACTGATTCAGACAGAAATATTTTAGCAATGAGACAATAGTTAAGCTTCATTGGTGTTTGCATTTTAGAGTAGGATGACAATGCCATTTAGTTGAAAATTATATCATACCAATTTCTCGATTGAGGATCTTTTCTTCCCGGTTGCCTACTGGTTCAATAACTTTTAAAAAAGGCTGAAAAAGCCGAAGGTCACAAAGTCGTCTTGTTTCATCAAAAAATTCTTCCCTTTCTGCTTCTTGGGTAACACTTACGAAAATGTAAGAAGATTCATCTTGAAGAAGTTGATGGAGAGGGTATTTTCTTGCTTCTTTAAATAGTTCATGCTTTATAGTTATTAATGTAGCCTCACGGAGGCATTCTAAAGTCACTATCATTCCATTTGGTAGTAAACATTCTACTAGGATTCTTGGGGGCATCAAGTGGATGCCCCACAATTCACCTGATGATGGTCGTGGAGGCATTGTTCTGTTCCTTTACAAGTTTTACATATAAAACTACTTTAAGAAATTAGACGTATGGCTGTCCCAAAACAGAATCCTAAAATCAAAGGAGGAAAACATTTGTTAAAAGAGAAAAAATTATAGAAGAATACATTTATAGCATTGCTAAATGTAAAAATTCATTTTCTGTAGTTTGAATTGATTAAATAAGTAATAATAACATCTTAAATATTTTAATCGAGACTGTTGCTCTAAATCAGTCTGTAAAGAATTGATTTCAGCAGAGATTAGAAAAACCACTTGTATTTACTTAAATTTAGCAAAGTCATTTATTTATTTATTTATTTTTTCTTAAAAAGATGACCGGTAAGGGGATCTTAACCCTTGACTTGGTGTTGTCAGCACCACGCTCAGCCAGTCAGCTAACCGGCCATCCCTATATGGGATCCGAACCCGTGGCCTTGGTGTTATCAGCACCGCACTCTCCCGAGTGAGCCACAGGCCGGCCCCTAGCAAAGTCATTTAAAAAGAAACATTTTATTTGAGTGGATTTTCTAAGTCAGGTCTCATCAAGACAGAGCTGAGGCCAAGGGAAGAACGAGAAGTTGTAATTCAAAACCAAATTCCCATCACATATCACCTTTATCATTCTCTTCTATTTTATGGAGCAACAGTATTAGGGCCAGAAAGGATCTTTTAGATCATGGGTCCATTGTTCCATTACTTAAAGATAAGTAAAGCAAAGCACAGAGAAGTCAAATCCTTTTCCTTTTTCACCCCTTACTCCCAACCTGCAGTAATAAGAAGGCATGTGACTTAGTCTTTTTTCTCTTTCTTTTTCATTCCTGCCTTAAATGAATCTTTGTAATTCCCCCCCCCCCTTTTTGTATTGATTCTTCTCTAAGTGACATCTTAAGCCATTCTGTTCCCAAAGTATGACTTAGGTATGTATATTCACAATAATATAAAGTGTCATCAGTGCATTTTCCTTGAAATGATGATGAACTTGCAATGATCCATCCACTTTCTCAAATACCCAGACCTAAAACTTCTGATTAAACTGAACCAATCTAGACATGCACGGGACCCATGACTCTCTTTGTCAGTACAATGTTCCAACCACCTGTGTTGAGAATGTGCAATATTTTAAAAACTATTAAGTGCTATTATGATTTGAAGGCCCTTAATTTTTTAGACTTTAACAATTTTAGGGGTTCTTTTAGAAGATACTATCAAAACCCAGAAGTTTATTTTTTGCTGTTTATGTTTGTATTTTCTTTTATTCAGTAAGCTAGACTGTAAGGGTGTAACAAAAGGTAAACAGATACAAAATAAGAAAGAAATGAAAGTTAAACTAGAGAAATGAATCAAAAAGGCCTAGATAACCTACTATATTTGATTACTCAATCAGGCACTGTAAACAATAGCTGTAAATGACAATTTGCTTATTCATCAAAAGTATATTGCTGTTGCCCCTAGGACTGTGTTAGGTGCTGGGAACAGAATGAACAAACACAGACAGGGCTCTTGCCCTTACAAGACAAAATCTAGAGTGTGAAGATTATATGTATGTTATGAGGGTGGTAATTAAACTCACAGTTACAAAACAGAATAAATGCTATCATGGATAACTGCCAGGTTCTACAAAAGCATAGTGTGGTCATCTAACTCAATGGAGGTTGGGATGGGAAGGTTTCTCACAGAATGTGACATACAAACTGAGTTCTTTAAAGATAAAGTTGAACAAACAAAAGGAGAAAGAGGTGAGTAGCATGATGCATCTAATCCCGAAACATGCCATGCTTGACTCCTCTATCTCACACCCATCAATAAATTTCATTAATTCTCTCCTTAATCTGTCTACAATCCTTCACCACCACTCTTAGTACCTTGGGTCAGGCTACCACTATTTCTTGTCTGGAGCACTCCAAAGGCCTTAATGGTCTCCTTCCATCTATGTTTGCCCCCATCCATCCTCTACGTCATAGCCAGTGAAACCTAAAGAGAACAATAGGGCCCAATACTATCAGACATTTCAGCTCTACCAATTCATGCTTGCAAACCAGTGATTGAGGTATGCTTCAGAGTTATAACACATGATGGAGGTAAGGAGCAGGAACAGAAGAAATTAGCAGCCCTCCTCCTACCACAGAAAATATAGAAATTAATTAGAAGACAATGAAGAATACAAGGAAATTATTTTTTAAGAGATTCACTGAAATTGTAGGATTTAAAATATAATTATCCTATTTCTTATATTCTTAAAAGAAACTTCATTGTCTAGTAAAAAGACCAGATGGATCAATCTGTGTGCACAATTATAGAAGTGACTTAAGTCAAGCTTTTTAAAACATACAAAAAATTTGAAGAATGCAAGGGAAAATGCCAAATGACTACTTTTAAATGATGATCTGTCTGCATAAAAAGTTCAAATAAAAACAAAACCAAAACCACAAGCTACACCAAAACAGCAGCTGTGTTTATGGTGCTCTTTGCTGAATGGTGCTAACGGGTCTATGTTATGGAACCACTGGGGCAAATTTTATATAATAAATAACAACCCACAGAGTCTCACAGGTTCCTTAAGAATTAGTAAGAGAGAAGTCTAATACACTAGACAGATCACTGACTTTACTCCATATTCTCCTATAGTATATATGTGGGTAACTAACTATTAAATATTCAGGACATACCTTTCTCATAAAGAGAATAAATGCAATGATAGCCATAAAACACTTGGTGATCCTGGAAGGCACGCAATGGTTGACATTATGGTCGTACTATATGGAAGGCAGAGAATGCTAACTTATTTGACTAATGGCTATTTGCCTTCCTGTGCCAGGCCTTATGCTGTATAAACCATTAGAGAAGTGTAGAAGAAGCAAATGGAACTAACATTTACTATTTAGTATGTATAACCCTCTTGGGGTAGGTATTACTATTTTACATATGAGAAAAAAGAAGGCCAGAGAAGTAAAACTACTTGAATCCAGGTCCAGATGACTGTAAAGCGCACACTATAACCATGCTGCTATTTGGGCTTCAGTTATGGCCAGGCAACATTAATTGATGGTGAACAAGAGAAAGGGCTTTAAAGTTTGTAGTGGATTGAATTATGTCTCCCCAAACTCCCTGAAGCTTGAATTGTGTCCCCAAATTTTATGTATTAGAAACTTAACCCTCACTATGACTGTTAAGAGGGTGGGAAATTCTACTATGGTAACTGAAAGGTGGAGCCTTGAAGTGGTGATTGAATTGTGGACAGTGCTATAGTGAATGGATTAAAAATGGTGGTCATGGATGTGGTTCTGAGGGCTTTAAAAGAAGAGGAGAGTCTGTCTCTCTGCTCTCTCTGCTTCCACTGTCTTGCAATGTGAGACCCCTGGGTCACTGTCACCACCACCAGATGTGTTCCTTGGACTCTGGACTTCCCAGCCTCAGAAACTGTAAGCAATAAATGTCGTTTTTCTTTATAAATCACCCAGTCTCAGGTATTCTGTTATAGCAACACAAAACATATTAATACAAAGTTACAGTAGATTCAAATTCTGGCTCCCTCAGTCAATAGCTATGTGGCCCTGGGCAGTTTAGTTCATCCTACTAGACCTCATTCCCTTCCCTCCCACCCCGTTTGTTAAATTGGGATAATAGCATCTATTATATTGGATTGTTGTGAGGATTAGATGAGGTAATATATAAGCAAAGATACCGAGCACACAGTAGGCACTCAGTAAATGCTAAATATTTTTAATAAACCTGTGAAGTATTACCTACATTATCTTTCCAAGCTATCATGATTTATCCAAGGCTGGCACCAGATGGGGATAAGAAAAGGGTTTCGGTTTCTTTTACCAAAGGAGGCAAGTAAATAAGGAGATTCATAACGTAGTGCCAGTTTCAACTGCTAATACTTGAAGGTAGCATTGGTAATGCAAGGCTCACACACAAGCCTGGAAAAGTACTGAGTGAATCCAGTGCTGGTGCTTTTGCAGCTGCTTACAGTTTCCCAGATTCTCAAGATTCTTATTTATATAGTATAGGTATCTACAGCTTAGGTGTGAAGAATACCTTGCTATCTTTTTTTTTTTTTTTAAAGTACCTGCTTAATGCCAGCCTCTAGGCTCACTATGTTATGAAAACAAAGGTAAACAGAGTAACATGCTTTCTCTTCTGCTGCTGAAGGACTCACAGTTTACTGGGGAAACAACTTTAATAATGTGATAACTGTTACAAGACAGAATATGAACTACAGAAAAGCTTGAAGAAGATAGGGAAAGCTTCAGAGAGGTAAAGTTTTCATAAAATATTATGGACTAGTATGGATTTCACAGAGAGAAAGGTTGTGCAAAGTTACAGACTATGAAAAAATGCAGTCTGTTACCAGCAATAGAAGCTGTTTATTACTTGAGTTTAAAGTGCATGGGAACAAGTAGAGTATGAGACAAGGATGGAGGAGTGAAAGGTAGGTAGAGGCCAGATAATAAAACCATGTTAAAGAGTTTGAATTGTACACTGTGAGTAAAAAGGATTCTCTGAAGTATTTTGAGCTAAAAAAAAAAAAGTGACATGATCTTTTTTTCATGATTTTTAAATTCTGTCAGACTTATAAAAACTGCTTTTCGAATACAGAACATAATCAAGTGAACTTTAAAGTATAAAATCTACATCTTCTCAATTCTCAAAATTTAGAGAAAAATCCCTAAAATTGAGAAAGCAGAAATAACATTTTAAATAAAAGGGCCTTTATACAATAGAAAAAATTAAACGTTGATTTAAAAAAATGGAATTATCAAATTTAAATGCATATTCTACTTACAAAGAAAAAACTTACTTGAGGGGCCGGCCCGGTGGCGCACTGGATAGTGCGCCGCTTGGGAAGCGCGGCGGCGCTCCCGTCCGAGGGTTCGGATCCC